TAATGTCTTTGTTTTAAAACAGAAAACACCGTACCAGAGCCGGTACCGTGTTTGAGTCGTGCCGGAGCCGGGCTTATTAAGCGTGCAATGACCATCATGCCTGTTTTCATCAACCTCTCGTAAATTATAAGGAACGCCTAAGCAAAAATAGATAACATTTTACGATATTTTGGTTTTCAAAAATCTATAAGTAAGTGTCACCTAATGTATGTACAAGTAAAGAATTTTAGGTGCTACATCAAAGTCGAAGTCAAAATCATTTATTTCAATTAGACTAGAAAGGCAATTCTCATTCCAAGGTGTAGATTCCTAGGGAAAAGAACGAGCAAGAAACTCCATAGGTTTACCCTTTTTCAATCAGGTTCACAATACAATTCTCTAGTTACTTACATAGTTTTGTTGTTTGCATTGTGCGAGGACAATGTAATACAAAAATTCAGTCAAAGTATTTTCATCACAATCACGCTCAGTATCTTTTAGTTAGGACATGGTTTAAAGGCGATTAATGAAAACGGCTATGAGTCAAACAATGATAATACTATCAGAAACTTCATCCTCATCATCATCATCAACAGCTTATAAATGTCCACTGCTGAGCAAAGCCTCTTCTCACACGGAGAAGGTTTGAGCATTAATCACCACGCTTGCTCAATGCGGGTTGGCGATTACAAACTTATAGTTAGAAATTATAAGTCCAGGTTTCCTCACGATGTTTTCCTTCACCGTTAGTCAGTAGTGTCTAGATAATCTTAAAAAGTACATATAACTCTGAAAAAGTCACATTGGTACTTGCCGTTGGTAGGTTTCGAACCCGCACCCTCATGCATGAGAAGCGGACGTCTTAAACCTCCGGGCCATTACGACCACATCAGGTATCATCAGGTATTATCAGGGACTTACCCAGATCCAATTGGTAATCAATTGTTTCTACATACCTTAACAATACAATTCTTCCAAAACCAAATAAAATTCTATTTCTCGACAGCCAAACGATTTTCTTTAAAACTTGCAATTTAATAAGTCTGGCAACGTCGTGTTTCTTTATTGACACAAACCGCAATGTTAGTCTCAGTCTCAATACAAAGTCTCGACTATTTGCGGCTTATTGAATACGTGGTGCCACCCCTGAGGGGTCAAAAACGAACTAGTAGTTATGTGTATAAGTATATTATGGGTACATATGAAGCTATATTATACATCCATATTATCATGACCTCGCTTTGTCTATTTTTCTTTTTTTTCGCACAATCAACGGTCAGTTTCTTTTTTTTGTAGGGCTGATTATAAGTCGGTAAACGAGCAAATGGATCACCTGATGGTAAGCAATCTTACTGTGCCCAGCTTAGACTGAGTTGGCGAGCCCTTTCGTCGTGGACATGCTGCCACCCTGTTCTTTTATTTTGCTTTTTTATGTTTTTTTTTGCCTTCATTGTTGTTTTTTTTACTGCTGTTTTTTTATGTTCTTATTGTTTTTTTTTCTTTTTCAATGTTAATAATAATAATAAATAAAAAGTGTTTATTGTAATAAAAACCTTAGACACACAGTTTATGAATACTAACATCTAAACTAGGCCGAGCCTGTACCTTAGATGTTAGTTCCTTCCAATTGATACAATATATTATTTACAATTTATAGTTTGTAAAATGTTTTATAATACCATCTGATTATGATATCTAATGCACGAGTATGTCAATAAAATAAAACAACCTTGAGAGACAGGGGACCTAATAAAAAAACGTACTGTACACAATATCAAACTTTTTATGAATTACCCGCATAGAATGAATTCACTTAAGTATAGTTGTTGTTAATTTGTGTGTTATTCGGTGGTCCATGTCTGGTGGCGCATAAATTATTTTTATTTCTTTCTTTCTTTCTTCTCGATCGGCGTCACCCATGGACACCTGGAACACCAGAGGCGTTACAAGTGCGTTACCGGTCTTTTAGGTATTAGAAGTTTGAGCATCGTTAGGAATTCAGGGATCGGGGAGATTGGGGAAGGGGCTAATTAGACTTCTGGTAACCTCACTCACACGACGAAACAACGCAAGCGTTGTATCTAGGGTAGAGCAAGGTGTTGCATTGTTTTTTTCTGTCCTCTGTCTTCTGCATTGTGTCCAGTATATGGCAATAGGCTCACCCCTAACTATATGACCTATATGACTTCTGTGATATACCCCTGAGAACTGAGAAGATGCCACGGCTTCAAAACTATACCTTGTATAATATAAGAAATAGGAAAAAGAGAAATGATCACGTACTGCAAACTATTACTCCTTACGGGAATAGAACCCCACAACTAGAAACGAATTGCTTCAGTGCGTCACCAATCTCGTCGACAAAAGTTTGAAATTGCCAATTTAAAATCAGTTTGGCGACGTACACGGTGACGCAGCGTGGAGATCACGACCAGCTATTGAAACTGTTTCTGTTTTACGAAGCCGGTGTGTGAAGATACACAATTTTTAAGCTTTATTGGATTCCAAAGTTTAACAATACTAGCTACCCGCGACTTCGTTCGCGTGAAATTATTCATATTTCTTGTTAATTTATACTTTTTGACGCGACAACGTGTTCATTGGCGAGGCGTATTTGAGAGCTAGTATGAAACGGAACGTTTATTGTCTACACAAGATGGCGACTGCGGTTTATCTGTCAGTGTCATTAAAATGAATTAATAAAACGAAATAATCTCCGTAATCCTAATTTTGCATATATCCATATGTTGTCGACTCGAAATAGATATTTTTTATGTTTGGTTATTTAAGTAGGTAATTTTTCGATCGAGTCTACCTTACCCCTTGACGAAATTATTAATTTAGATGTATTTTATGTCTGATAGGATATGAACGATTTTTGAGTATGAAATCTTTTAAAATGTGCATGCTTTATTTATTAAGCAAAACATGATGATTTATTGTAACTATAACACTATACTATAACACAGTATACAACAGTATACCACACTGTAACACAGTATACCATGTTTTATGCAAATAAATGTCTTTATCTTTATGAACCATATAAAAAGCATCGTATGTATGATAAATTGATAGTAAACTTACAAATTATGGGGAAATATTGGCAAGTAATTCAATGGTCATAAGACGAAAGTTTCACAGGATTTCAAGATAAACTGTCAAAAGTAAACTAAATAAATTATCCGAATCAGGCTATGATAATAATAAAGTGTGAAAAATATGACAAAATAAAAGTTTCTATAAGATGACAAAAAATAGAAAATTCGCTCATAGCAAATTATGTAGAAATCGAAAAAAATGTTTAATTTTCGAGTACCTAGAGTTTAGGCAGAAGACGGAAGATCAACGTTTGCGTTGTGTTTCGTCGTGTGAGTTATTTTACCAGAGACCGAATAACATGAGCCCCCCCTCCCCAATCCCTGAATCCCCGACAATCTTCAAATAAAATAAAAATAAAAAATATTTTTATTGACAATAAGCTTCGCATTACATATTTATATGGCTTTGGACCCCACACTAGGAGTCCCTGTGTCGTGAGGGCCAGTCTCTTTCAGTCAGCAAAACATTATAATGCAAATGAGAGACAAAATAAAAAGAGAATTAAAAAAAAAGAAATTAAATGAAAACGATAAATTTACAGTATTCTTTATATAACACTAATTATGGAAGTGTATGAATGTATGTGTGAGTGGTGTGTGTGTGTGTGTGTGTGTGTGTGTGTGTGTGTGTGTGTGTGTGTGTGTGTGTGTGAGTGTATGCGCGCGTGTTTATAATAACCAGTGATAACTGTTCTGTGGGATATTGAGTATAACCTCAGTACTAGAATAGCTAAGATTCAATAACCAAGTTGTGATTTTTTTCTTGCAGGTTTTCCGTAGTAGTGTAGCGATTTTTAGTTTAGATTGTATTTTTCTATATATGAAAGGTCCCATGAAGAGAAAGGACCTTCTACCAAACGATTTGTTGCATTTAACTGTTTGCCACTTAAGCAGTCGTTGAGATCGCGTCATAACTGCCTTAGTAAGGCTAATTTTATGGAAACGTAATGCGACAGATAGAATATACAACTGCCTTACCCGGAGTATTTGAGTCTCTTGATACAAGAGATCAGTGCCATATCTGTATGGAAGACCGTGTGCGCACTTCAGTAACGCACGTTGTGTTCTTTCGGCCCTTAGTAGATACACCTTTGCAGCCGCACCCCATGATATAATGCAGTATCCAAGTATAGATTGACAGAGTGCATAGTATATAGTTTTAATAATCTTATCTGGAGCTACTTTAGTCAACCTCTTGAACACGTACAAAAGTTTCCTAACCTTTGAAGTCAACGCATCTATATGCATGGACCATGACAAGCGCTCGTCCAAATAGACACCCAAGTATTTTATATACTGGGTGTTCTCAACTACTGGACATGCACAATTGACGCGGTCCTGGCACGAGTGAAGCCTGATGGTAACTAAATCTCCTGGAGCCGTTCTCGCTGAGACGCTAAAACAGATAGCTTTGGTTTTTCCAACGTTTAAAGTGAGGAGGTTGTCATTTAACCAATTGGCGACGACCTGCAAACCCCTCTCAGTCCTGTTTATGACTTCGGACCAGGAATCGCCATGGCAGACGGCTGCAGTATCATCTGCGTAGGTGAAAATTTTTGTCGCAGGAATCGCACGTGAGCACAGGTCATTGATATAGATAATAAAAAGTGTAGGGCCCAAAACGCTACCCTGCGGCACACCATAGCACACTTCTAGAACGTCACTGCTGCAATCTCCCACAAAATCCCTTATCTTATTATAATCCTATTATAATTCTTATTATAATCCCTTATGCAAAAAAGGCTGGTAACGCATTTGTAGCGCCTCTGGTGTTATAGATGTCCTTCGGCGACGCCGGTGGTCCGTCTGCTCGTTTACCGGCTAATCCCATTTAAACAATTTTTTTGCCTTATGGCGATAAAAGTTTAAAAGTGATTAATTGCACACTATTTATACAATAATCTCAAAATACCAACGAACCTTATTACACTTGGTGCTACTGGCTAGTTGCTGGTGTCTCCTGGCCACCACGCAGGATATCCTGGCGTACACATACACCATCACTGCCATGGGTAGGAAGAACGACCCCATGGCTGAGAAAACCACGTAGCCCGGGTTCTGGTTGTATCTGCAGTTGCCGTTCTGATTGTGGTCTGGTTCATACCTGGGGAGTGAAAAAACTAGTTAAAAAAAACATTTTCAGTCTCCAAATGATAGATTAAGAAAGTTAGTAATGAATTCGGCACTTTTCAGAAGTTAAAAAGAGCTTATTGCTTTCACGAATCATGTATGCACAATCCTAGACTCAAAACCCTATATAATAACGATATTTCTCAGGTTAACGAGTAATTAATCAGTTTGTTTAACTTTATTTAGCAAATTTATATTTGTGCGTTCATTGGATTCGGAACTAAAGACATTATGAAACATTTTAACAGACTAGAATTATGTCCAGACTTTGCCGATATCTATATTAATAATTTCGTCAAGGGGTACGGTAAACTCGATCGAAACATTACCTGAATAACAAACATAAAAAAGTATCGATAACTTGTCGACTCGAAATTGTTTATCCGCAAAATTCGAATTACGGAGATTATTTCGTTTTACTAATTCATTTTATTGACACTGACAAACAAACCGCAGTCGCCATCTTGAGTAGACAATAAACGTTCCGTTTCATACAAGCTTTCAACACGTTGTCGCGTCAATAAAGTATAAATTAACAAGAAATATAAATAAATTCACGCGAATGAAGTCGCGGGTAACAGCTAGTAATATCACTAATTTCATGACTAGGTCCTGCAGCGAATGTTTTAATAAAATCCATCACAGGTTACTCACAAGAAAAATAAACAGAATTAACATTTTGATATCTGTAGCTACCCTGACAGCCGTGTTATGGGTCACTCCGGCCCTTACACGCATGATCGGTTACTCACTGACCCATCAAAGGGTCACCAAGATTTTCTGACCTTCCACTTACACACAAGGGTCTAAGGTTTACCTTCCTAACCTTCGGAAATACCTTAATTGTCTATTGACCTTGAAAACCTTTCGATAGTTTCCTGTTAATTATGTCCAAGTATCTGAATTTTACAGTTAATTTGACCGGGGACCGGGGCTACTTCGAAAATTTTATTAGGCGGTGCCTGTTTTTGCTGCCTTTATTAACGTTACATAAGTCTGACTGCCACGTTGGCCGAATAATTGCAAGTGCGACTGCTGGGCAAGGGGTCTCGGATTCGATTCCCGGGTCGGGCGAAGTGTTAGGTACTGGGTTTTTATAAAACTCTCAGTCTAGCACGAAGTCTGGAATTGTGCCCGGTATATTGCTATAGGCTCACTTCCTATTACATGGGACTCATAATAATATGATAAATAATGAAAAGTGGTTGCTACATTGTACAGTGGTGCCGCAATGTGTACCTCTGCCTACTCCTTTGGAGATAAAAGGCGTGATGTTATGATCATGTTATGGTTTGTTTAAAACATTTTGAAATGGATTATTAGACAAATCTTGTCGTTAAAACCAACATGATCTAACTTCCATCAGCTCAGCTCCCGTTTCCTATTCAGGTTAAGCAAGATCATCATATTCACGATCGAACTATACTTCATTTCGCAAGGTTACTGCTAGTAAGTACGTTTAATAAATCTCCATAATTACTTCTTTCCCCTAAATTTATTCTCCATGCGTTCTTTAATAACTTCCAAGCCTCCGTTATTGTCAATATCAAATTGTAAAAAACTCATCTCCAAAGATTTTATGCCGTTATTATTTCTATCTTTGTCCTTAAATCTGTCATTTCAATCTTCTTAAGGTCGCATAGATGGCGCCATTGTGTTCATGGTTAAAGTTTAAAAATTCGTAACAGAATAGAACAAAATTTCAATTCACGTGAAGTGCAGTCTAAAACCAACCGATTATTTATAAATGAAATGTCGGAATACTGAAACGCTACTCAATTTTAAGTCGTGCTTAAGTATAGTTCTGTCTCTACAAATTCTTTGTAAAATGACAGAGATGGCACGATATTTGAGCACGACTTAAAATTGAGTAACGTTTCAGCCTGCCACTTTAAACAAGTGAGCCAAAGCATAACTGCTAAACAAGCTGTCTCTAGTGGGCTTCTAAGGTCAGGCAATACATTATTGAAGTTTCACGCTTTTTATCACATTTTCAATAAAAACACGGAACTGGAACCGTACACTGAACACTGCTATTACCTACATGACATTCATAACATAACCGGGCAAGTAAATGTCACATTGTAGATATGTACCTCTGCCCAACTCTTGGGGGATTAAATAGACGCTCACATATTCTGCATCATCATTATCATCATCATCATCATCATCAGATCAGCCACAAGACTGCTGAATATCTCAAAGTCTATTTTTATAATAACTATCGTGAGACATACTATATTAACTAAAATCGCGGGTTACTCACGTGAATATACTGAGAAAAGTTCGACGTCGCCGCGACTGCGCACGCTGCTCATGAGGAAGAACCCCTCTGTGGTTCGAAACTAGTAGTATGTTCACGTGAGTAACCCGCGCGCATTTTAGTTAATCTCAAGGTCTTTCCGAATGACTTTCAGACATATTCTTACTGTAATAAAATTCAATTTACATTTCCTGGCTTTTAACGTTGCAGAGTTATAGCCAAGGCATTCCATTAGTATGCAGAATAACATCATTGAATACAATGTTTCCTAGAGTCCGTGCCAACTCGGATAAGGTCATCGCACAACAATTTATGATGAACGGAATTATGCAATTCTGTTTGTGGTTATTACTGGAGTGTTCTGAGGTTTTTATTACTGTTGTAATAACCCGGAAGATTATGTATTAATCGGCCGAGTTGGAAGGAGAAAATGTTTTGTAAGTTCTTAGGAAGTAATTGACGATTTTCTCAGAAACAAATTATGTTACGAAGTTGAATGTTAAATCGAGTTTATCACATCTACAATGAGATTTAAAGTCATGTGGCAGAATATGGTATAATAAACATATTTTTTTACTCAACAGTGAGCGAACATAGGGCGAAATAGTTATAATAATGATACTTCAAAACCTGATGCTTTGTAAATACATCGGCCCACAAGCTGATAAATTATGGTAAAATCTAATAAAATGTAATAAAACGATGGTGACCAAAATTCACTTACCAACCAAACATAGGAGGACAAGTGATGGCTCCAGCAGCGATCCAGACAAAGAATATCATAGTAAGAGCTAGCTTCTTGGATCTTCTTCTTCTGGAGTACGTAAGAGGTCTGGTGACGGCCAGGTAGCGGTCCACGCTGATGGCACAGAGTGAGAGGATGGAAGCTGTGCAGAGGAGAATGTCCAGGCTGATCCAGATGTCACAGAGGATCCAGCCTAGCTCCCATTTACCTGTTGAAAAGAGATAGTTTGTTAGAATAATGTTTTTGTTTTTTATAGCAATGCTGGTAGTGGCGCCGACAAGAACTGCTAGAGTGAATATTTATTATAATGATATGAAAGATTCTCATAAAAGACCAAAGTGCGGAGTACTCTCAACTGATGTACTTCTATGATCAGATGCATGTATGCAATGGAAGTTACAGAAGTACGCAAGGGTTCTAGGTGAAGCACCGTAACTTTGCCTGAAACCGGTTTTTTTTAAGGGGGAAAATCATTGAATGACTACTCCCGCCTGGGTGAGGCGGGAGGGAGTGTCAGGCTCTTACTGATTAAAAACCATTTCGGTCCTTCTCCTGTACGTCGAGCCGGAGCCCCGGTAACCCGTTAGGTTCTCCACAACTCGTCTGAAACCGGTTAGAAGAGCATGTTTATTAGTGAAAGACTTATTGGTTGGGTCAGGTTACAAGTTCTTCAGCCAAGCTAGAGTGTTCAAGATTTTGAAATCAACTAAACAACTGTTGGTATTGGGAACTACTCGATCATTAAAACAGATGATACTACTATACAAAAGTGCTATAGTAATTGCTATGCTTACCCCAAAAATGTTCGTTCATTAATGTTGTTTTACCTTCAGCCTAAAGTGTCCATTAGGATGGAAACCACAAAAAGTAGGTATTTGTGGTGGAAACGGACCTCGGAAAACTAGGGTAGGGTATCTAATTTTTATTTCATTTACAAAAACCTAAAACGCTTAGTACTTTTACTTAGGAAAACCTATCACTTAATTACTTTGTAAGAGTAAGGGATTTGGAATCGATTCTCGGATTAGAGAAAATGTTATTTGGGAAAGTTTCTAGTTTTCGAAAAGTCCTTTAAGTGCTTTCTTGGCTTTTTAGTGAAGAGGTCTTCGTTTTTTTAATGATTTTTTCTTTTTTTCAGTGGCTACTACTGATCAAGATAGGGATTCGATAACTGGTAAAGGGCATGAGCACCTCTGTCTACCTCCTTAGGGATTAAAATGCGTAATGTATAATTATGTTCTTTGTAGTTGAAGTGGATTTGCACCTAATGTCTGGCAAGCTTTGCCTTATTCACAATTTGTATTGTAACTTATATTATAACATAAATAGTGAAAAATGGATGTTACATTGTACAGTAGCATTAATTACCGTAATGAGCACCTCTGCCTACCCCTTCGGGTATAAAACCCTTTTTGTATGTGTTAGTGTAATTAGTATAAAACTATGTTAACATATAAATAAATAAGACTAGATACTAATAGAACTATACTGAGTAACAAGAAATTCGAATTCTTAAATTTGTTCCCTACCTACCTCAGAAACACCAAACCAGCTTTGATATTACGAAACAATATTTTAATAACAAATTATTTACTGAAACATGTAAAGAAATATCCATAAGCAATTTCCTTTAAGAAAATTAGAAATCTTTAAATATATCAAAGAATATATTTTTCCATTCATGTGTATTAGGTAAATAGGTACTTACGCGTACAAAAAATGGTGTATTAAAAAAACATTCGTTTAATCGATAATAAGACCCTAATTCACGTCCCAATAAACCTTTTCATTAATCTAATTTAGAAAAAGTTGAACATTTTAAGTTATTTATCATGATTAATTTATCAAAGTTTATTTTTGAACTAAGTCTGGTCTGTTAAGTCTCTGTAGGTCGTGTATACTAGACCTTAATTAGGTATTTTTTAAATTGTGTTAATATCATCAACAGCCTGTCTATCTTTGCTGTACTTTTTTTTTATGGGCGAAAATAATCCAATGGTTTCTCTGGAGGCTCTCTGGAGGCAAGAGTGTAAGACTCTTACTGACTAAAAACCACCCCGTTCTTACTTCTGTACTTGGAACCGGAGCCCTGGCAACCCGTTAAGTCCTCCGTATCGACATCAGCCCTATTGGGCTTCGTCTGTGGTGGTCTGATGGCTCTTTAAGTCGCGCGCTAACCTTAACTCTGAACCTTCTGTCCCATAATCTCCATACTTCTTAAGCGGCATGGTAATTTCAGTTTAAAGATAAAAAAAATCCGATATAGAGTCATTCCTGTAGTAGTAGGGGTGCTAAATATAATTCTATGTTGTTAATGCGGCACGGTTTACATTTTAACCGACTTCAAAAAAAAGGACGTTCTCAGTTTGACCTGTATGTGTTTATGTGGGATTATATTACGAATGACTGAACCGATTTTGATGCTTCAGAAAAGGGTTTGTTGTTAGGTATAAGTATATATAAACCGACTTCAAGTAGGGAATTGTAGTTGCATTTTTTAACATAGTTTGTAAAGTAATTAATTATATTTTTTTACATTGATAACGAAGATCGATTAATATATTTAGTAAATTATTTATATTCGTAACAGTAATGGTGATTTGAACTTTTCTAGCATATATTTAAAAGAACAAAATTAGAGGTTTCCTTAGAAAGAGGTATGTAAGAATCGCATTGAGTCTGCCTAAACCGATGCGATACAGGAGACAGGCGTGAGATTATGTATGTATATTTTTTTTATATATTAATTGATGAACCGACGTTTGACCACTATTTCGCCTACATATCTTAAAGACAGTAGTTACGTAGAATTAATAACATAACTAGTGATATAACACTTTCTAGAACAAAACACTTAATATAAAATACTAAAGTAACTTTTCCATCGGGGTAAAATATCGGTAATTTACCGATAACCCTATTTAGGAATAAAGAAAAGTCGGTAAAATCGGTAGCTATAAACAAATTCGATTATGACATAAAAGGGAAAACCCGTTAGACTGAGACCTTTCTCCTAAATGATTGATGGCTTGATTTTATCGGGACTTATTATAATTACCCCCGATTTTTGGTAAAAGCGTCTTCATCTTTTTGGGGTGAAATTTGAAAGTGGATTTGTGAAAGAATAGTAGGGATTTGTGGTTTAAAATAATGATAGTTTTTATGAAAATCTTTTTAACATAACATAAAATCACTCCTTTAATCCCCGAAGGGGTAGGCAGAGGTGCACATTATGTCACTATACAATGTAACACCCATTTTTTAGTATTTATGTTATGAGTCCCATGTATTAGGGGGTGAGCCTATTGCCATATACCGGGCACATTTCCAGACACCGTGCTACTACTGAGATTTTTTTTAAACCCGAAAGTAATACTTTGCCCGAGCCTGGAATCGAACCCGAGACCCCTTGCCTTGCAGTCGCACTTGCAACCACTCGGCCAACGAGGCAGTCTTTTTATAGCTTTAATTATTGATGACATAAAACATTATTATTATTATACAAGCACGGGTTTGCTAACATGCTATTTTGCTACACATTCGTAATTACATCAGTAAACATCTTTCACGATAGACAAACTTGAATTTAAAGGAATTGCATTCAAGACAAACATTTTGATGAACTCTATACAAGCATGTGAAAAGCGATAAAATTATTTCTTTTACAACATAATGCTCTCGTTTTAAAGGAAACTAAATTGCCTTTTACACGATCGCAAAATATTTATAAAGAAATGTAAAAGAAAAAGCTGTTAGAAAAGTTCTACTAGTTTCGAACCAAAGAGGGGTTATTTCTTATGAGCAGCGTGCACGGTTGCTGCGATGTCGCGCAGCCTACTATAGTGTACTGAATAGTATTTGCACGTGAGTAGCCCCCGACTTTTAGCTAAAAATATCTACGATATATAAAAGTATGAATCAAAAACATACAAAAACCTCGTTTCGAAAAAAATAACAAAAGGCTTCGTTAAAATTCAGGTAAAGAGAGAAAAACTTCGATACTCTTACAACATACGGTAACGATCACTCGAAGAAAAATCGGTGTCAAACCGTAAAAACCGAAAATCGAAATGTATTTCGGAACGCGGCGAAAAATATTCGCCACATTAATGATATTCTCACACTCCCCGTATTAGAGGTTTCTACCCCACTGAGAGAAGGGGGAAAATTTAACAAAATGCCTGAGGACATGAGTGTTTCTTTTTACCGGAATTTTGCTCCAAAGTGTCTATGATTCTATTTTTCGAACAAGAATGCAAGATATGCGATCAGCATACGTGCTCCGATTTTGCAATCCCATGGAAAATAGTGAAAATTTTTCCATTCCATGGTTGCTATACCTATTGGATGGTATTTATGGTACTCAAGATAAAGTTAACAATTTGATTGTGGCTCAAGTTTTAAATCAAATTGTTAAGTCTAACATACTTTTTTTTATAAGTCCGGTAAACGAGCAAATTGATCGCGTCCGTAAGTAGTTGGCATCGCTCATGAACACTCGGAACATCAGAAGCGTTACAAATGCGTTACGGGCCTTTTGGGGATAAGGAATTTGACGTTTGTTGGGGTTTCAGGAATTGGGGAGATTGGAGAAGACGGGGGAGGGGGTAATTGGGCTTCCGGATAACCTCACTTACACGACGAAACACAACGTAACCGTTGTTTCACGTCGGTGTTCTGTGAAGTCGTGGGATCACGTCAGTCGAGCCGGCTCATTCGTACCGAGTCATGGCTGTCCCACACTTTGAACTACTATGACTGTACCGTAATGATTTAAACATTTCCATTTTGTACAGGTTCTCGTACATTAATTAAATTCTATTATTGAATACTAGGCAAAACTGCATGCTTTAAATAGGTAATAGGGTAGATGACTAATTTTTATTTTAATGTCCGTCAGGTAGATTATTTAAAACATTACACACGATTTTTTTATTTTTTTACAGGAACGAATACTTTCGACCATATTGATTTGAAATGTCGCGTGACGTCACTTCTATGTACATTTTATACGTAGAAATGTCGTTTTAGCCCCAACTCCTCAACTTTGATTCGTCTTATCTAAGTATCTTTTTATTATACTACAAAATAAAAAAAATACGTGTGTAATATTTTTTCATTACCTAACTTACGGACTAATTATATTTTTTTTAATTTTCATATCCTGTCATCATCCCTATTGCATACAATCTCATTGCAAACAAATCT